AGTCCACAAACTCAAACATTTATGGTAAAGATTTTGACATGGATGCTAAGAATATTCAGTGGGGCAGAGGGAGGGGTTTTTTCAATAAATGATGCTGGGAAAGGTGTATTTTCTTATTCAGAAGATGAAATGGGATCCATGCCACACATCAACACAACTTAAAAATGTTTTACTCATTGCTGTTGAGTTGATGTGGACTCATAGTAGCTCAAGGCGGGGGATGAGTTGGACCTTCCCTACAGGGCTTCCAAGCTTGTCAATCTTTACAGAAGCAGACTGCCAAAACGTTTCCCTCTGAGCAAATGGTGAGTTTGAACCATCAGCCTTTTTTGGTTAGCAGGTAAGCTCTTTATCCACTAGATAACCAGGATGCCCCCAAATGTCCTCTATGCTCTAACTACGAAAATATTTGATTTACAAATAAGGAATCCTACTTCGCGGAATTTCATTTATCACGGTAGGGCCTAGAACCAATTAACCGCGATAAACGAGGGTTCACTGTATTGTGTTCTTAGGGGGTTAAAGATTCATCATATTATGAAACATACATGCATTTGTCCTAAAGTAAAATTCAGTGAAGGGACTTAATAGATCTACACTAGAGGACCACGAGGGGATAGGCCAAATGTTTATTAAAAAGCGAATAACTAGGCACATAACATAATTAGGTACAGCATATTTTACATTAGAGACATTTTTGGGTCAATATACCTACTGAATACACCACAGTGAGCAGCACCCAAACCCTAGAAAGCAGGGTAGTTCAGAAGAAATAGAATCGGAGTCCCTGTACATAATAAATTTATTAATTTTTAAAAGCAAACAGGCATTGGTGACTTTTTCATCCAGAGATAAATAATTAAGTATTGTGCTTAAATGAATTTGTGCAGCAACCTTTTCATGGGCAAGGCACCATATATATTTGAGTATAAGCTGACCCGAATATCAGCCAAGGTACCTAATTTTATCATAAAAACTACATTAAAATGTGCTGAAGGACTTGGCTTATACATGAGTATATATGGTAATTAATTCTCAATATAAGGGCCCATAGAACTCTCTGTTTACTAAGTGGAAACACTCAATGTAAATACTCTTCCCTAGCTCGGTCTTGAGTAGATCCCCCTGCTAACTCACAAGGGACATTCGACTTGAGAGAAAAATCTTACTTTATTGTAATCACATTACCGAGATCTGGGGGTTGCTACATCAGTATTACCTAGCTTGGCATGAGCAGTATACTTCCAGGTCACATGTGATATGTCATGGTTGTTATTTAGAAGTACCTGAATGGTTTCCCTGACCACCTCATTGGACGCTCCCATGGTGCCAGTATGAAGCTTTGCGTTGTGGATGTTTACTAAATAATTGTTCTGGGAAGGAATAAGCGTGTGAATGAGAAGTACAGAACCTACCTACTACATTTGAAGAGAAATACATCTGGATTTAAGTATTCAAGAAAGGATCCATGAAAGTGTTACTCTTCGAGCTGAAACCTGGAAGGGCTGTTCCAATTGGGGTGGGGTGGGGGTTTCTCTTCATATTACATTTTAGCCTCCAGAGGTCTGGTCTTTTCAGGCGAGTCAGGAGAAGCCTCAACATTCCAGAATCACAAGATGTGCCACACTTTTAAACAGATGGAGGCAATTAGAGCAAGGTTTTAAATTTCAGCAAAATGATAACTTTGCCATAAGGGCCATGCACTTAAAAAAAGGACTGCATGATGCCTTTCCTGTAAAAGTAAGCCTCATACCAGAGAACTGGTCCACAAACCAAAGAGAGCTTCGGGAGCCTGTGGAGGGATGAGCTCTGCATCTGGTCCTGCTGCTTTCCCTGGTCGGCACAGCTTCATTCCGAGGACTTGCATGTGGTCTCTAACCACAGCCAAGCTACCAGGTTGCCTGCTCTCCTAAACATGGAGGCCATGAAGTTAGAGACATAGGTAAATGAAAACAGGCACCACCAAACCGATGTAAGGGGAAATTAAGATGTCTCAACAGATTCATTAAAGTGAAGAGACTGAATCAGTGATCAAAAGCCTACCGACAACAACGAAAGTCCTGAATCGGATGGCCACACTGCAAGATGCTACTTAATATTCAGGCAAGAATTGATACCAATTCTGTTAAAATGCTCCCCAAAAAATAGTGGCAGAAAAAATTTTTGAACTCTTTATTAATCCAAAGACACGACAAAGAAATTACACACCAATATTCCATATGAATATAGATGCAAAAATCCTCCACAGAGTACAAGTGAACAGAATCCAATAGCAAACTGAGTCTCGTAATATAACCAAATGGGATTTAGTTTAGGAATATGCAGGTAGGAATTCCATCGACATAATGCCCCACATCAGTAGAACAAGGAAAAGAACCACAAGACCATCTGTATGAATGTAGAACAAGCATTTGATGAAGTGTAATACCTTTCCTACTAGACATCCCGAGCAGACTAGGAGAGAAATTCCTTAATATGAAACATCAACAACCAACATTATTATTCTTAATGAAGAAAAACTGAGTGTTTTCCCCTTGAAATTGGGAAAAGTGTACACTGTCACCACTTCTATTCAATATCATATTACAAGTCCTCATCAGAACAGTAAGATAAGAAAAATGAATGAAAAGTATCCAGACTGAAAAGAAGTGAAATTATTTCTATTCATGGTTGACAGGATCCTACATATAGAAATTCTCACACTCCACAAAGAAACTTCAAGAGATAATAGAGGTGTTTATGAAAAATGCATGGTATGAGGTCAATAACAATAAATATCAGGTAGATTTCCATCAGCTAGCTGTGAGAAATGTGCAAGGGGTATTAAGGAAATTATTCCATTATGACAACATATAAGAGAATAAAATACCTAGAAATAAACTTAACCATAGATGTAAATGACTTATAAAATAAAAACTACAAACCACTGCTGAAAGATATTAAAGAAGGCTTAAATAAATAGAAATATGTTCTATGTTCATAGATGAGGAGACTTGTTATTGTTAAGGTGTCAGTTCTACTACCTAAAGTGACCTATATTTGCAATGCACTCATGATTAAAATGCCAACAGCTTTCTTTACAGGAATGAAAAAAGCCAAACCTCAATTTTATATGAAGGGGTAAGAGGCACCAGATAGCTAAGATAATGTTGAAAGAAAAGATCAAAGAGACCCCATACATCCTGATTTTAAACATATCACATTGATAATCGAAATAGCCTGGGACTAGTAAAAGGTTGCACACATAGACCAGTGGTATAGAATCAAAGTCCACAAACTCAAACATTTATGGTAAAGATTTTGACATGGATGCTAAGAATATTCAGTGGGGCAGAGGGAGGGGTTTTTTCAATAAATGATGCTGGGAAAGGTGTATTTTCTTATTCAGAAGATGAAATGGGATCCATGCCACACATCAACACAACTTAAAAATGTTTTACTCATTGCTGTTGAGTTGATGTGGACTCATAGTAGCTCAAGGCGGGGGATGAGTTGGACCTTCCCTACAGGGCTTCCAAGCTTGTCAATCTTTACAGAAGCAGACTGCCAAAACGTTTCCCTCTGAGCAAATGGTGAGTTTGAACCATCAGCCTTTTTTGGTTAGCAGGTAAGCTCTTTATCCACTAGATAACCAGGATGCCCCCAAATGGATTATGTACCTAAATGTGCAAAGGAAAACTACAAAACTCTTAGAAGGAAATTCAGGAGCAATGCTGTGGTTCCTAGCTTTTGACAATAAATGACCTAATATAATAACAAAAGCATAAATGACAAAAGATAAAATAAATAAATGAGACCTAATAAAAATGAAAAAACTTTTGTTAATCAAAGGACTTTAAAAAACAAGTGAAAAGTTAAGGTACTGACAGAGACAAACTTCATAAGGATCTAATAACCAAAATATATATAAGAATTTGATACCAACAAAGACAATCTAATTTTCAAAATGGGCAAGATATACTTAAATAGGTTTTTTTCACCAAATAGGACATTCAAGTGATCTCAAAATACATGAAAAGAAGATCAATGCCATCATCCATCAAAGAGAAGCAAATAAAACCCCCACAAGATACCATTTCATTCCCACGAGGACTAAAGCAAATGTTGGCAAGGATGTGAGAAAACTAGAATCCGTACCCACTGCACGTGCGAATGCAAAATGGTACAACTGCTGTGGGAAACTAGGTGGAGGTTTTTCTAAGGATTAAAAAAAAACTACCACATGGTCCAGTAATTTTACTCAAGTATATGAGTATAAAGGTATAGACTCACTGTTCTTGAGTTGATTCTGACTAACAGTAGCCCTATAGGTTTAAATGGAATTGCCTTATAAACGTTTCAAAGTTTTAAGTCTTTACAGAGCAGACTGGAACATCTTGTAAGTGGAGACTCAATCAGATACTTGCACACCAATGCAGACTGCTGCTTCATTCACAATGACAAAAGATGGAAACCACGCAAGTACCCATTCGAGGATGAATGGAGTAACAAAATGTGGTACATAAGTAAAATGGAATTGTTTGTAGCAATCAAGAGAAATGGTCTCCCCCCCGCAAAACAGTTTTCTTGACATATGATTCATGTGGCTTAAATATATTAAAAAGAGTTGTACAATCATCACCATCGACAATTTCACAGCATTTTCTTTCCTCTTGTACCCATTATTATTAGCTCTCCATTTCCCTTAACTTTTCCTGTCAAAACCCTAAAACCCCAAACAAAACTCACTGCCGCCGAGTCGGTGCTGACTCAGAAACCCAATAGGATGGGGCAGAACTGTTCCTGTGAGCTTCCAAGACTGGAATTCTGTACAGGAGGAGAAAGCCCTGTCCACCGCAATGATTTAGTTTAGTACTGTGAAAATAGTACAGCATGGCAGGGAGACTAACATATGCCTCTCTTGGTCGCCGGATAAGACTAGCCAAATTTGAGGGAAGAATAGGCGAGGGAAGATCTGGGCAGTCGCAGCAGCTCATTCAGGAGTGTTTGGTTGCATGGTTGTGGGTACCAGCGTAGGGGCATGAACAGGTGAGAAGGTGAAAGACGAAAGGGGCTCATTCATATTCCTCACCAATCCTGAATCAGCACTACTGGTGGATGGATGGGAGGCTACGAAGCCATCACAGGAAAAGGGCCTGGTCAAAGGGGTCGTCCTATGGACACAGGCTGGAGAAGAGAAGAGGCAGAGGAGATTTCTGGAGGTCTTGGGAGACAGTCCATTTAGGTCCAAGAAGGGATCTATTTTCAGAGAAAGGGTTGACACAGGCCTTCCTTGGGTGAGGCAGACTTTTCCAGTCACGTTCAGACTACATTCCCTGGAGAGAAATGCAAAGCATCCATCTTCTGCACAGAACCCACACAAGCATGTCAGGATGGACGGACAGTATTCCAATCAGAGAGGCTCAGTGCACACCGAAAAAGATGAACTCATAGCACAGTCCCTGTTGGTTTGCATTTTCAAGACTGTGCACCACATCACCAAACATCAGAAGATTTCCATGATATAAAGATGCCTAACTGAAGTATAGAGAAACAAAATGTCTGTGGAGCACACTTTGGGGTTGGGGGGATATCAGAAGGAAATTCAGTGGCCAAAGTATAGTGAAAGCCAACCATCCACGTATTCTTCCTTGCCATGAGCAGGTAACATTGAAAGAAAAATTCAAGGCTATTTTCAGTTTGAAAACATACTTGGAAAAAAAAGACGAAAACAAAAACTAGATTTTCATCTGATTCACAGCAGCAGGCTTGTGTGTGCCTGTGTGTTGGAAACATTCTGAAAAATTTATAACCTTCTCTTGAAATCAAATAAGCCAATTTTTTATTAAGAAGGCATTTATTGTGATGAATGGTACTTTTATTGCAATTCAATAGTCTTGATGATTCTTGGTAGGTTTATATTTCTGTTTGTGCCTCTCCAGATTGTCCAAATGATCTAGGATGAACATCTATGACATTTGTAAAAGGATCAGCACACGGGGTTTTAAAAAACACTTCAGCTAACTTATAAGGGAAAAAGGGAAAAAAAATCTAGCTTCCTCTAACTTTAGAAAAATAACCGTACCTTCTCCGTGCAACAGTGATGGGTCCAGAAGTTCCATCATGTACTCGATTTCAGTGTCCAGTTCCAGCATGTCACACTGCGCTATGACGTAGGTCAGGACCGGCAGGAAGTCGTCAGCGCCGTACATCCTCCCTGGGATTGCAAAGAAAGGGGAGGATCGGAATATTTTACTCGTGTTTATTGCTTTCATATTCTACTTGCTATTTTTATCAGCTGGTAGAGGAGTCGTTTTGGAGAGATGTGTTATTTCTAAACAGGTGTGGATATTTCTAAAATTTTATGCAGACCATATGTCCTTCAGTGACCATGTTCTTTGATTAGCCCTAATTTACAAATTCAGAGTGAATGTGGTACAGAAAATAAACATTAATTTTTTTCTTTCCATGTTCTGATGTATATTGAGTTCTGCAATAGAACTGAATGTTTTTTAATATTTTAACCTTCAGAAATATTAATAAAACTAAACTCAGAGTAGGAATACATTTTATAGTCAATGTGAGCATACAGTAAATTTAAGTTGCCAATTCAGAAACTGTTGAATATCTAGATTGTGGTATTAACCAGTATATATGCAGGGGCTTCAAAAAGTTGGTGGAAAATCTCTATCGTTCAGTTCTATTTTTCCAGGAATTTTTTTGAAGCCCTCTCATATTTTCAGTGGCAAAAATTGTTTTAATCTTTATTTCTAGTTCTTTATAGTAATGCTTCCTAACTTGGAATGACTCCTCGTCTGGAAGCATTTTGGTCACCATGCCTGCAGGGGGGGAGTGTAAATGGCTTCTAGTTTGCTGTCAAACTTCCAGTTATATATAGGACAGCCTCAAAGCAAAGTATCTGATATAAAATATCTACAGGGCCAAAGCAGAAGAATCATGCTTTAGAAGAATAAACCCTTATAATATTTTGAGAACTTTTATAAATTACTTAATGCATTTTATGAATAGTTGCTATATATGAAATGTGCAAATTTAAGAGGTAATATTCCTGTGTTATCATTATCTGCCCAAGAGCTCACACTTTAATAGTATCGCTCAAAACTCTGTTATCTGTAATCTTAATTCCATTGAGTTGATTCTGACTCTTAGGGACCTTATGTAGGGTTTCTGAGACAGTAAATCTTTTTTTTTTTTTTTAATCATTTTATTGGGAGCTCTTACAGATAACATAACAGTCCATAGTTCAAGCATATCCAGAAGTATTGTACAATTGCTACCACACAATCTTTCAAAACATTTTCTTTCATCTTGAACTCCTTAATGTCAGACCCCCTTTATCCCCTCCGTCCCCCCTTCCTCTGGCCCTTATTTCTTTATTTGCCATATGTAACACCATCCAAGATATCCATTCACATCCCATTCTGTTTTCGCTCCGCTCAAGTGTGGTTATACAGTGAGACTGTAAGTCTTTTCAGGAGTAGCTACTCTCATCTTTCTCTGGCAAAACTCTTTGTAAAGTACATACATTCTTACCGACTAAAGCAGTGTTTATTAGCGCCTACTGCCTCTCCACAAATTTTCACTTGGAGGAGACACAGTTAATAGTCCATGGAATGACATTAGTCTTACTGAAACTCTGGAACAATGAATTCAGGGTTCATTCATTAGCCATCCTTGGAGTGTAGTTGGGTTGTGAAACACAAGGTTAGCAACTTGAAACCACCAGCGGCTCCACAGGAGAAAGATGAGGCTTTCTACTCATAAAGTCTCGGGACAGTTCTGGTCTGTTCGATAGGATCTCTATGAGGCAGAATGGGCTCCTTAGCAGTCTTGGTTTTCAAAGCTATAAGAAGCAGGACAGGAATAATCCGGTGTATTCTGTCACAACTTTGTGACTCTAATGTATTAAAGAGGGGGAGAGGCCAGAGCTTTAAAGAAATTATATTACTGCTGAATGCTCATGTTTTTGGCACATACTGTAAATCACTGAACAAAATGTACTGATAATAGCTAAAATGTCCACTTCTCTTGATTTTCATGGTTGACACATCTAATCTTCACCTTATGACTATAGATGTAGGAATGGTGGCTTAGAAAGGTGATTAATCAGGCCAAAGTCATAGTTACTCATCTAATTCACAGAGTGAACTTAGACTCTAGAGATTTGTAACCACTATTTTGAACTAAATTTGTAATTTAGTTGGCATCATACAAAATCTTGTTGCTCTTACCTATTTACTTTATTTGGGATTATTATGTGTTAAGAGGCTCTGGTGGTATTGGGACTAAATGCTCAGCTGCTAGCTGAAAGGTTGGCCATTCTAATCTACCAGTTGATCTGGGGTGGCCGGGGATTGGGGGGATGGGGTAGTCTGTTTCCACAAAGATTACACACCCTGGAAAGCCAATGGGCTGTTTTGCTGTTCTTTAGGGTCATTATGAATCAGAATCAGGTTTGTTTTTTGGTTTATTTACTTGTTGCATATCACTTATTTTCCAGATACCAGAGTAACATTGTTATTTTTGTGAGCTCCTTGGTGAGTAAAAGATAGAAGGGAAGGGAAGTTGGGAACCAGAAAACCTGACATGTCTTGGACCAATGATTAGTGCTGAGGGCAGCAACAAAGAGTCATGAGCATGGTCACCTTACCTGAGTTGTTCCCCATGACAGTGTAGATGAGTTTGCAGACTCTCAGCAGTAGCATGACTTTCTTTTCTGGTGAATACATCTTCTGCATGGTCATGAATTTGACCTTGATTTTTTCTACATCTACAAAGTCAGGGGTCGGGGCAAAGACTCCCAGCTCCTGCGGGTTCCTCTGTCGCACCAGCTGCAAGTTATCTTTCAGCTGTTTCCATGAGCCATCAGCCACATGGAAGTCCTTCAGCATGGTCTCCACGTGCCCCTTCAAGGGTTTCAGGATGCACTTGTGCATCGCTTTTTCCAACACCACATCTGTCAAAGAAAATGCAGCTACTGTTACCACTGTCTGCAGAGAAAAGAAAGAAATTCACAATCTGCTTCCTCAGAATGAGTGCCTAAAACACCCATTCATTAGATATAGGCCAGCTAAGCTAAAACTAAACTCTTCACTAGAAAACAAAACAGAGAGGTTTTATGACTCTCATGTTTTTCTGTAAAGCTAGGAAAACATTCTTATAATCAATGATGACTTCTGATTTTAATAAATTCTTATTTTCTCTTATATACAATCAATATAACTCAATATATTTGTTTAAGCTATTTTTATCAACTTTTTCTCCTTCCCTCCCACAACTACAGGCAAATATTTTTAGAGTATCCGCTCCCCCCATCAAATCCTTCAACCAATTATCCAATTGAAAGGAAAGTAAGTATGTTATCTTAAAGGATTTTCTATTAGCAAGGTTCAAGATTCCTAAAATATTTATTGATAAATAAGTGCTGCATGTGATCCTACTTTTAATTCTAAACACCCCTGCCCCAGTTTTCCCCAGTTGGTCTGAAGGGCATTCTATTACTGGGACTCCTTGGGAGATTTGAATAGCCTGCAGATTCTACAGTAATAACGCACCCGTGTTAGTTTTCTGAGTTTGATAGCTTTATTTAGCTCTTGTTGCCAGGAATATTCACTGAGGGTGTTATGGTTTAGGGGCCTGGTGTCCACAGTGTAATCTCAGAACATTCAGGGGGAAAGATGAACATACATGTGTGTGTGCAAACAGAAGGAGAGAGGCTAAAGTAAGTAAGATAAAGTGCCAACGTTTGGGAAACTTGGGTGAAAGCCAGACACAACTTCTTTGTACTATTTTTGCATTTTTTTCCCGTGAGTCTGAAATTATTTCAAAATAAAAGTCAAAAAAGAATTTAGAACTGTATTTCTGTTCAGTTAGAAACCACTTTCTGGTGCAGAAAGCATTCTTTCCCTTCCTTCTTTGCATGGCTGCACAACGGCGTAGCTTTCTGGGCTGACACGGAAATGATCAATTCCATACAACCAGGGATCCAGAGCTTAAGATGCTCTATCAGTATTAAACTCTCTGCTTTGGCAACATTAACTTTCCAATCTCAATTATTTACATGTTCTCATCCTCAGAAACCATACTTAACGTATAAACCTTTAAAGTAATTCCAATTTGGAAACTGTGAGGCTGCATACGTCCAAGATTGGAAATAGTTGAATCATCTCTCTGACCTTTGGAATACCCAACATAGGATCATATCTTATTGAATCAAAAGCATTATGTATTGTTAGAAGACCAGGCACAAAAAGAAAGCTAAGCCAGATGCACAAACACCTAAAGCAATTTTCCTGTGCCCCAAAGTTAAAACTGATTAACAATTTAATTCTAATCCCACAAAGGTCACCTTCCCAGCCCATTTTCTTTGATGCACTGCCTCTATATCCTATCCAAGAGAATTATTTATTTAAATATATGTGTTTAAATAACCATAGAAATAAAAGGTGAAGCAGAAGGCATTGTACAATGAAAAAAACAAGACCACAACAGACAGAATAATGTATCCACTTCATATCTGGCATTAAAACAAATTACGTGGCTTATCTTAGTTTTTCTATTAATAAACATGTGCAGCTCTGACACTTTTTTGATGTTACCCTACACGGCCATCGCAATGAAAAGGCAACAGCAACCCCTATTACTGAGCACCCCCAACAGGCTATGTTAAGTGCCTTACTATCTGATTTCATTGAGTCCTTGCAATTAAGGATAGGACTTTTACCTCTCGTTGGAAGAGCCACTTCCTAATAGTCACTAGAAATGTACATGAATGTTCGCAGCAACAACATTTATAACAGTCAAAGTCTAGAAATAACTCTAGAATGCTGTTTGATGTTGTGGATCCAGTCTGTACTAGCTGATTGTGGTGCTAGGAGATCCTGGGCTATAATCCCTGGGGGAAGGAGCCTTGGTAGCGTAGTGGGTTACTCATTGGGCTGCTTCCCCCCCACCAGCGGATCTGCAGGAGAAAGATGAGGCTTTCTTCTCTAAAGATTTACAGCCTTGGAAACCCACACAGGGTAGCTAAGAATCAGAATCAAGTTCATGGCAGTAAGTTGGATTTGAGTTCATCCGTATGGGCTCTGTGAATTAGGTACGGGACTATTAAATGCAAAGTTGGTGGTTCAAACAGTGCCATGGGGAAAAGATACAGCGCTCTGCTGCTGTAAAGATCTACAGCCTCGGACACCCTCCATCAGGGAGCTGTGAGGAGCACCAACTCCAGGGCAGTGAATTATTACCATTTGTGGCAGTCCTTTTTATGGACGCCGGCCATTGGTCTTTTTACCGTGGAGATGTTAACCTTTCCGATAGCCGCTGAGTGCTTAATGCTTTGACCACCAGGCTCCATGTACAGTGGAATTCTGACACTGCAGAGTACATTCAATAAAATACGAGTGCACTATTGCTCCAAACACAGCAGGGATAATAAGCTCACAGATATGTTACATGAAGGAAGCCAGGCATAAAAGAGTATCTACTAAAGCCTTTTGTTTATATGAAGTTCAAAAATCAGGTGAAAGTCAGTTTATAGCGATAGAAGTCTCGTGGCAGTTACTCTCGTGTTGATGCTGATTGCAAAGGCTACATACAGGGTAGAATGTTCTGTATCTGGGTGATGCTTACATAGGTGTGTGCACATTTTAAAGTTTGTAGAGCTGAGAAATTAAGATAGGTGTACTCGCCTGGATGTAAATTACTTCCCAGTAAACAAATATAAAGAAAACAAGCAGAAACACCTGGAGTCCCACTTTGTGATTTTGCACCCTGAAATCCCAGGGCAAGTTTTAACTTGCTAGAAGTAGCCTGGATGCTACTGGGCCAGATTGTGAAGACAAATCGCTTTCAGATGATGTGTGCAGTTGGGGGTGAGAGTTGATGGTGTAGAGCTCCAAGCAACTATGTGGGTTGCCCTATGCCACTCACCGGTGCTGCCAGGAAAGTGGGTATCGACCTTTGCACCAAACCCCATCCTCAGGTTAACTGGGGATGTGGGAATCTGTTAGGAGAACTCACCCTGAGACCAACTAAAAAGTTAGTCATCCATTCTCTTAAAACCCAAAATGGGGGCAGGGAGGTACTGGCATTCGATTTTATGTTGTAGTCTAGTTTATAAGGGCATAATTACAAAATAAAAAGATGGGTTCCCTCTGCATCCCTGTCCAGGGCTTCATCTCTATGCCCCTCACTCCAAACAGCCTCAATCAGCAGAAGAAACAGGAAAACGTACAAATGAAAGGAAGGGACAGGCACCCAGTTGGTTTTCACCAGCAGGAAAAACAGGGCTCTGCTTTTAAACGAAATGATCTGAAGTCAGAACAGGAACAGAGAATCTTTCAGAAGCGTGGACTAGCTCAGACCAAAGCAGAACAGAAGGGTTACATTTATCATATATGAAGACTTTTGGTTGTTTTCTATAACCTCTGACTACTACAATTTTACCAAAACAAAGCAAAATATTTCAAATTGTCAGAAAAATGACATCCACTGTGTACTTCACATGCATTGATGCTTAACAAATCCCAAAAAGGGAGCATAATTATTATCTTACAGATGAGGCAACTGAGACCCAAATTGATTCATGACACCTGGCTAGCCAAAGGGGGAGCCAAAATTAAAAGCCAAGAACTCAAGCGCCAGAGTTTTTGGAAAGGTATCGATTGAATTGAACCACAAACAAGCACGCATACAAGAACAGGCACCTAACATTTTCCACTACATTATGAAGAAATAAGAAAGAAAGCCAACCAAAACAAAAAACGAAACCCAGGAAAGATAATTAGATGCTTTTTATTTTTTAGGGTCCATTAAGGTCTTTTATATCTTTCTAGCAATGAGAAGCATACCATGGAATTATGTGAGCAACAACACTGTGAATTTTAGAAACGATATGTTAGCCATACTAGCTGAATGCCTGAATCTGGAACCACGTCTTTTGTTTTTGTTTGATAATATGTGTATAGCCAGTGGTCTCAAAGCTCATGAGAGAAATAGTAAGGCACACGGTGGTGGTTTCTATTCTCCAGCCCTTCATGTAGCCAGCCCACTGTCGTGATCTATAAGAAGTGATGAGGTAGTGGCTTCTGGTATTGCCAAAAGCGATTCACTTGCCCTCTTAATAGATGGCAGAGTTTGTCTATGACTCCACTCTGTCCCGAAGCTTGAATTCCAGAGAAGGGATGCAGAGATCAGACAGAGGGCTGTATATGAATGGGAAATACATTGGCATGTTTTGTATTATGCTTGCTCACCCATGCTTGAGTAGGGGAAGTGAGAGCCTGAGAAGCAAAAGTGAAATTCAGAGAAGGCAGATGTGTCTTAGAAAGAAGAGGGGAACCATGTAGCCACAGCTAGATTCACTCTGTCTGTGTGGCTGGCCATCCATGCTCTATTAAGCCACTTATCACTGCAGACATGTGGAGCGCAGTCATGCCGGAGACTGCCGGGAGACACGTGGAACATTCCATCTAAAGAAGAGAGGGTGCTGTGGGGTACTTACACTTGTACTCCCGGCACTGACTAGTTGAAATCTGTTTCTGGAGGCTGGGAGGACACTCATTTTCCAGCCTTCCTTTTCCAAGGATTCTGGTGGTATGATATGTAAAATGCTACAGGTGTAGACCAATGGAAACCAGACTGCGTGCAAAGAACAGAAATGAGAGGGACAAAGAAGGGCACCATCCATGCTTTGAGCTCAGGATTGCTAATGGAGCAAGTCAAATAGCCCAGGCTTGGGTTTTAGAGGACTTCCTGTTGAGAAGTCAGGTGGTTCTAAGTCCTGACAGAGGAAGCAAAAAAATAGGAGGAACCATGTGGAAGGAAGGTTTCAGCAGAATCCACATTAGGAAACGGAAAAGTACAGGTTGTCTTCATGTACTATTTTATGTTAAATCTGTTATGCTGATGCAAGGGCCTTCTAGTAAAAGGCTTTTCTGGCAAGGGAGAGAAGGCAGA